GTGTATCGAAACGTAGCATGTTAATAAATTCAGAAGTAGTATATCCATATAAGTGCCTTTAATTTAAAGATACATTATGGGAGATAAGATAAAGAGATGGCGGTTCTCGCTATAATAGTTAAAAACTAGATAGTATAAAGGTAATTTGCTGAAAATTTCAGTCAAATTGATCCACTATGAGCCGAGAACGAAGCGGGTGAAATTTTCGCCTAGTCTCGGTCATCATTACTAAAACCATTAATATAAACAGCATAGTCTCGATTATCCACTGTTTTGATTTAATTATCAATGGCCGTTAAGCGGCATATAGGAATCTAATCCAGCCAACATCGAAGGCTAGCCTTGACATGGAGAGTTTATTATGGTCTGGATAAGTTAATTAATGTCTAATTGATAATTTAGATAACATTTCAGGCCTAAAGAACGACTTGTAATAAGCAGATTTTGCTCTTGCATAATGCATGTTTAATAGTTTTACATATTTACAAGATGGAGGCTTTTAATTCCTTAGTCAATGGACATGAATTTGTTAAGTATTATCTTTAAAAACATACATAATGTTACAGTTATTGATTGTTTACTTGAATTAAAACGTTTTAAAAATATTCGCTCCTGTATAATAATATCTGGATATATTTTTTTCACGTTCTGTAATAAAATAAGTACAACTGAATAGGTAGTGATATTCATCGCCGACTGTATTTACTTCACACAAAGGACAGATTGTTTGTTCAAAATCTACATTCATTCATCTCTCGACCTCGACAGGGAGTTGATGGTTACATGTTCTATAAAAGAATATTTATAATTATTCGGCAATCTAATTTAAATTCCGTCTATAAATTCTATAATATGGAGAAATGAAGACCATTATCGTTGGTTTAGAAAAACACTAAATCATTGACAACAAGTGTTTCATTACGTTCCCTTCACTTAGACCCTTGGACTTGAAAGTTCGTCGGGATTTCCGGCGTGACCCCCACCCCCACTCCACCCATGTCGATGGTGCAAGAAGCATTGACAGATGGTTCAATATGGCACGTTACTTCAGGTGCGACTGTCAATGACGTCATCAATGAGTATGATGCTCTACAGTTCCATATTGAAAGAGGTGTGAGAGTTTTTACCTGTAAAATATGTTATAGATCAACATGCCATACTATCTTCAAGTTGATATTTGTACACCTGAACAAAGAACTTGATAATGTTTACTTAGGTTGGTCTGTTGATTTTACAATTTATAAATATATATATATAACTGCACGCTCACAATCTGGGTACTTTACTAATTAGCAACTTGTACCAAATGAAATGACTTAGTTCGGAATCATAGAATAAAATGAATTTTTGTTAAAAGAGTTATTTTGGGGACACTAAAAAGTTAAGGGTGGGTTGTATCATATGGTCTGCCATGGAGTCATCTTGTGTGGTTTCGATTCCTCGGTTGTACGTCACAAGCAGTAGGGTCGCCTGTCCAACCTCGTGGGTTTCCTCGGGGTCCCCCGCTTTCCCCCCACTGCTAAATACCCGTATGCGCAAGCGAATTATTGAAATGAAATTGAACCATATGTTATTCCCGAAATGACCTAGTTTATGTCAAGTAGACGTTACTCGCTCTCTCTCTCTATCTCTATCTCTCTCTCTCTCTCTTTAACAAGTTGTATGAGCCGATGAACCCTATTTTAAACTAGACCAACCCGTGTGCTTTAATGTCGTGTCACAGACCCCCGCCCCACCCTCGCCTCTTAGCTTTCTGTTCACGCAAGAAGCACTTATGCTAGGCCTAGACGTATGTCTACTCAATTCAAACAAATTAGGTAATTAAACTGTCGTCTGTTGATCTTAAAGGAGTTTCTGGTGTAATTTAGAGGGTATTATAATAATAAACCCTGTTTAAACACACTTTATCTATATACAGGTTGATATAGGCCACATAATAACTACACTATTGACTACAATAAAGTAAGAAAGTGGCCACGATTATAGGCCACATAATAACTACACTATTGACTACAATAAAGTAAGAAAGTGGCCACGATTATAGGCCACATAATATCTACACTACTGACTACAATAAAGTAAGAAAGTAGCCACGATTATAGGCCACAACATATCTACACTATTGACTACAATAAAGTAAGAAAGTAGCCTCGAATAATTAAGTTAAAATATTTTAAGAGTTCAGTAGGCCTATTTTAGATTATTACATATATTGAGTACAATGAACTGAGAAAGTAGCCACAAATAATTAGGCCTAGTTCAGTAGGCCTATTTTAGGTGCATTTACCAAGTAAAACTACAATATGTAGGAAGAAAGTAGCGACAAATATTTATACATTATGCAAGAGCTAAATCAGCCTATTGCAGGTCTTTCAGGCCTGAAATGTTATCTTAATTATTAATTAGACATTAATTAACTTATCCAGACTCCGATATTTATCAGATTGGAATACCTTTTTTTTATAAATAATTAAACGTTAAAATGGATAATCGAGACTATATTTTTTTTTATCGTACCGACATTAGTAATGATGATCGAGACTAGGCATAAAATTGAATCGCTAATATATCGGTTCAGAGTGGATCAATTTGACTGAAATTTTCAGCAAATTCCCTTTACATTATCTATGTTTTAACTATTATAGTGAGAACTGCCAACTCTTTATCTAATCTCCCATAATGTATCTTTAAGTTCAAATATTTGAAGAGCCCAGTAGACCGATTGAGTACAATGAAGTAAGACCGTAGCCACATTAAGTTAATATATATTTTAATATGTTTCTTAACCGAGAATTAAAATCATACTTTAATATTTCTATTTTATATTTTACTGTTTAACGGGGTTCATAAATAGAAAAGGGTCAACGTATGTGGGCTATATTGATGTAAAATATTGTCAATAACTATCATTGCGTCAATATATTGACGGATCAAAACCATTTTGATTTTTATTGATGGTTCATCATTATATTGACGGACGGTCAATTTATAGAATGACAATATTGATCGTTTCTGGAGAATCTGTCAATAATTGCGTCAATATTTTCATTCAATCGTTTTTTTCCGTTTCTTCTTCGTCAACTGACATGAGTAGCGCAACAGTGGCCACTGCATCCATTTTGAAAAATGACCAAAAAATGATGAAATTATTGATGGAAATATTGAATCGTGTATGGACAATTCCCGTCAATATTATTGAGTCAGTATATTGGGTCAATAATATTGATGGTTTTATTGAACGTGTATGGGTCGCTTTAAAATACACGTTCAATATTTTCATCAATTAATTGATGGCAATAAATCGATATCAGTTAATTGGCGAAATTGTCCATGATCAATGTTTTAGCATCAATTTTTGTATTCTGGTCGAAAACTTCGAGATGAAAGCAACTCTGGCACTAGCACACGAGCTGTCAATAAATATCACAGGAACTTTGATCCATCAATTAATTGATTCAATTAAATTGTTTCAATTAATTCGCCGTCAATGTCCTCGATACCCTTTCAATTTTTTCGTCAATTATTTAACGTGTTAATTGACGAAAAAATTGACCGTGTATGGGCCGCTTTAAATCCGTTTCTATGATCTAGTTGTTGGGTGGGTTGATGTAGCTGATGCCATTGATTGTCAAATTCAGATCCACATACTAGGCCTACGCCACCAAATATCTACCACTGAACTTACGTTACAATTATTTATGTCTCGGGGATCAATGTGGCTGAATGTGTGAAGCGGCCCATACAAGTTAATTGATATCAATAAATTGACGAAGAAATTGAAAGTGTATCGAGGACATTGACGGCGAATTAATTGAAACAATTTAATTGAATCAATTAATTGACGGATCAAAGTTTCTGTGATATTTATTGACGGCTCGTCAATTAAATAGACCGCATGTGTGCTAGTGCCAGAGGTGCTTTCATCTCGAAGTTTTCGATCAGAATGAAAATTGACGGTAAAATATTGATCGTGTGTGGGCACAGTCAGTTTCACCAATTAATTGATGTGTCAAACAATTGAACGTGCACGGGCCGCTTTAGACATTCGGTCACTAACCTTGGGGACTCTGGTTCACTTCCGGAGTTGGCCGAGAAAGTTCATCTGGATTTTCCGGCGCAGTTCCCCCTTGTCATTGACGTACACGTAAAAGCGCCCTTGGCATTTGGAATTTGATATAAGAATACCGGTAGGCCATTATATAGCGGCATAGTCTTAGTCCGTGGAAAATTTCCCTCATACCCTACTGCATGTCGTATTCCCACCTTCATCATCCCAATCGGGACAAAGCAGTAGGACGTTAAACCCTATTTATTCTTTCATTAATTATTACTGTAGGCCCTAGTTTTGAACATACATTATGCAAGAGCTAAATCTGCCTATTGCAGAGCTTTCTTTAGGCCTGAAATGTTATATAAACTATTAATTAGACATTAATTAACAAAACAAGACCATAATCAACTCTCGATGGCATCGGGTACTCGATAGTTTAACTAGTTTACGGTCGGGTGTTCGATCCCTGCATTGACCGAGAAAGTTCATTCAGATTTTCCGGCGTGGTTTCCCCTTGTCAGTGATGCAGGATGGAGGGCCTGACAAGGACAGCTGTCTAGTCGTTCGGATGGGACGAAACACCGAGGTCCCGCGTACACATTGGCGTGCACGTAAAAGATCCCCTGGCAGTTGGAATTCGATATAAGAGTAGGCGATAGTGCCGCTGCCCGGCAAAATTTCCCTCATAGCACACTGTATGGCGTATGCCCGTCTTCATTAGCCCAGGTTAGGAGCAGAACAGTAGGACGTTAAACCCCATTTCATTTCATTTAACTAGATTAAAACGGTTCGCCATTTTAAAATTTAATTTAAGCAATGATAACTTGGCTGCGAATGAAGTAATTTGAAAGGAATTTTTAATATTTTCTTTTTTTATCATCCATTTTTGAATTATTATAGCAAGAATGACCAACTCTTTAAAAGTTAATAACTATTTTTATTCTTTCAGACACGATGTGATACCAATAGTAATGGGCGCTTCACCAGACGATTATAAACGGGCAGCACCAGTCCATAGTTATATACATGTCGATGATTTTGAATCACCGAAAGATTTAGCCGAATATTTGCATAAATTAGACAAAAACGACGATCTGTATAATGAATATTTCCGGTGGAAAGGAACCGGTTCATTTATAAATACATTTTTCTGGTGTCGCGTGTGTGCTCTTCTCCATGACAACCAACGTAAGACGTCATGGTTTAATGACGTAGAAAAATGGTGGCGTGGACCGGATGTGTGCATTGGACAGGAAACATGGCGAGAGTTTGACAAACGAAAACATGGAAACAAAAAATAGTCATAATAGTGGTTCTCGCAATTTTATGAAATTATTTTAAACAGGGTGTTTATTTTCATTTTGGAGAACTAGTTCCATATAATATTTGTTTGGGAACAACTGTGATTCACAAAGTGTTTTGTATTAGGTGGTAGGCCTATTTATAAACATGCTAGGCCTAAACTAATTATGCCTCAATTAGGCCTTTTTGTTGAATATCCAAGATGTTCAAATTAGTATAGGAGTTTTTTGTTTATTAAAATGTTTATGAAAATGCTCCCCCTTATTGTGTGTGTTCAGTTTACAGAATTTTAGAAATAGAAGATTAGATGTCATTCGTGTACAGACGTTAGAATTTATTTTCAGAACAGACAATGGTCTATGATTCAACACTATAGCTGTCTTAACACTTACCGGAAGTACCCCGGAAGTACCCGGTTGGTAGCCGAATGGTTTTTGTTTTCAGTTTTTGATCAATCAATCAACTTGGAATGAATTGTAAAAGACGTCCGTATTTTTAGAATATCAGATGTTATACATAGAGTCGATTTGGATTTTTCCGTTGTTGTAAAATATGACGGTTTGTGGATTTCATAATCTAGAATATATTTGCCACTTTTACTATTATTATACTAAGTATCACAGATACTGCTTGTGGTAAATGTTAAGGGATTTAGTGAAGGGAGCATGTAACAAACAGATGTATTGTTTTAAATTCCCTTGGTTTATATCTTGATGAAAGGAATTCATACCATGTTGACGAAATCCATATCTAGACCAATTCCATTCCATATCTAGACGAAATCCATTCCATGTCTTAATGAATTCCATGTCTTAATGAATTCCATACCTAGACGAATTCCATACCTAAATGAATTCCATACCCAGACGAATTCCATCTTGATGAAATCCACACCTACATGATGAATTTCAATGTTTGGTGAAATACACATGGTAATGAATTCCATAATTTAATCATTACCATATTTGGTGAATTCCATATCTTTACGATTTCTATATCTGGATGAATTTCAATGTTTGGTGAAATACACATGGTAATGAATTCCATAATTTAATCATTGCCATATTTGGTGAATTCCATATCTTTATGATTTCTATATCTGGATGAAATGAAATCCATAATTTGATGAATTCCATATTTGAATAATTCCATATTTGAATGCATTCCATATCCTAACAAATTCCACATCGTAATTATCTATATCAGCCTGTACCAATGTTTAATCTGATGGTTAATTTATTTAAGTACCTAACGCGTATATTGTTATAAATAATGCCAGGAAGGAAGTGAATAATAAGCGTGCGAGCAGTGGTAGAGTAATGTAGTATGTCTACTCATATTAAATATACGTTGAGTTGAACTGAATTCATGATGATACATTCCAATCATTGTGTTATTTAAATAATATCATAGGTTATATTTATTTAGTGTATTGTTACCGGTCAGGATATGTCTATATATCTTACTTTATATGGAAGCCCATACGGGTCCTTAGCATGATAGAGATACTGCCATGTTAATATGATAATAATATGTCAAATTGTGATCGAGATCAAATAACTCGACAAAATTGTCTTTTCTAAATAAATATTGACAAATTACCTTATTAAACATACATTATGCAAGAGCTACCTAAATCTGCCTATTGCAGGACATTCTTAATATCTTAAATGTTACATAAACTATTACTTAGACATTTATTAACAAAACAAGACCATAATCAACTCTCGATGGCATCGAATACTCATGATTTTAACTAGATTAAAACGGTTCGCCATTTAAAAATCTAATTTAAAAATGGGAAAGCGATTATCAATATTTTTCATTTTACATCATCTATTTTAGAGGAATTATACAAAGAATGGGCAGCTCTTTATCTAAATCTTACATAATGTATGTTTAATATGGCGTTATTGACCCTTATAGACTTCCATACTCACTGGACTGTTTGTTATAAATGTATTTTTTATTCTAACAACGTAACTATGTAAACTATGAAATTTCAAACTGATAAGTGAGTTTCCTGATTTACACTGTAACTTATAATATTTGTATGTTACTATATATTGAGACCTTATTGTCTATAACTGTAAATGTTTCCTATCAAATCTGTAATCTCCTATCAAATGCTCACTTTAAATCTTGCCATGTTGTTTATCTCGCTATCTCTGTATAAATATTATAACCCTGTCTTTTTATAAAGGGGGTCAGTTTAGTATTGTAAGGACAATGGCTACAAGGTTTACAAAATACAAATTCTTAAACCATATTAAACAGACTTTTTATTCTCGTCTACCATAGTCTCTGGTTAAGTGACTTATTGTTATTCCCATATCTTTCTAGGGGTGTTTACTATACTCCCTGGTCTGTCTAGAAATGTATACTATTCTCCCTGGTCCAACGGGTTGTTAATACACATATTATACCTGGTTTGTCTAGGGAGGTATACAGCTCCACAGTCGGTTTTTGTATTTTCTGTCTGGCAAAACGTAGCCTCAATATAGAGTTTTGTTTCTTCGCTGCCATTTTGGAAATTCACTTCTCTTCTCTTAGACAATTTATCATGTAAACCCTTCATTATTATGACCTTTGAAAAATTGTGCACACTGTTAATTATGACAATAAATCGACCATCGTGTGACGTAGTTGTAACTGATAGAAGATTTAAATATTAATAACCATGTAAGTGTCCTGAAGATCTAGCAATAACATAGTTTATATTTTCATATTTAGGCAATCATCGTAAGTTATTTTATAACAGAAGTGAGTTATAGACATATAATTCATAGGTGTTTTATGACAGATGTAAGGTATACACCTATAATTCACAGTATTTTCATCACATAAGTAAGTTTATAACACCTATAATTATATAGTTATTATATAACATAAGTAAGTTAATAACAGAAATGAGTTGTACACCTATAATTATATAGTTATTATATAACGAAAGTGATTTACACGCGTATAATGCACAGTTCTTTTATAATATTTTATAACGGAAGTTAGTTACACACGTATAAAACATCGTTATTTTATAACAGAAGTTAGTTACACATGTATAATTCATAGTTATTTTATAATAGACGTGAGTTATATAAGTATAATTCATAGTTGTATAATTCATAGTTACGCCTATATAATTCATAGTTATTTTATAACGGAAGTGAGTTATATACTTATATTTCATAGTTAATATTTAGTTAATTTCATATTTGCATAATATATTTTAAGTCTATTATGAATGTATTTGCGTGTTATGATAGAATTTTATTAAATCTGATGAAATTCTAGATTTAATGATAATATCAATGATAAATGTCTTCTTACTGTACATATACTTATCCACAGTTAGATTTTATCAGGAATCGACCAGTCTATCCGGGGTGGCGGGTGGAGTGATTCGAGTGGATATATGGACGGGGTAGGGATTCGTTCACCAAGTCTATATATGGCGTGGGGGGCAGATGCATGCATACCTATAATATATGATCTTGGGGACGGGTTAGGGGGTTCGATCATCATGTCCCGGGGTGAGTGGAGGGATTCGATCATCATGCCATATCCCGGGGTGAGTAGTGGGATACTAGCATCATATCCCGGGGTGAGTAGAGGTATACTATCATCATGTCCCGAGTTGAGTTTCCTTGCAGACGGAAAACAGTTATTTCACGATGAATTATGCGTTGTTTAATGTTATTTATGTTAATATGATTTTAAGAAGTTTATTTACATCATGTAATTATGTTACATATAAATAAATAATATAGATAATATATTTCACACTTGAGGCTTTTTTTATCAAGTTAATTTTTGTTATATTTGTGTTATGATTGTTTGTTAAATATTCAATGATTTAAAAATAATAGAATAAATAAAATGTATATTAACTGTAAACATGTTTACGACTATTTGTTATCCAGTCCGTACTAATTGTAAACAAGTTTACGACTATTTGTTATCCAGTCCGTACTAATTGTAGGAATGAAAAATTACAAATAAAATGGGGTTTAACGTCCTACTTTTCTGCACCGACTGGGTTAACGAAGAGGGGAAAATGAAATGGGGTTTAACGTCCTACACATCCAAGAACCTTATATATAGATATATATAAGGCTCTGACATACTCTATGTATCCTGTGTACTAATGACGATAGACATACCCTATAACATCACTGTAGACTAGCTATTTAACTTGGGAGATTATGTATTTTCAAACTTGTAAAATAAAATGTCACTTTGTATTGTATCCATCTTCTTTATTTATCCGTCTCAAGTTGGCGTGCACGTAAAAGAACCCCTGACACTTGGAATTTGAAACAAGAGGAGGTCATAGCGCTGCTGTCCGAGTCAAATTTCCCTCATAGAACACATAGCCTTCTTTTTTAGCATTTATGAAGCTGAAAAGTAGGATGTTATGCCGCTTTCATTTTATATAAATATCCGTCTAGTTATTCGTATGGTACGAAGATGGGCATTTAAATTTGATGAAGAGAAAAGGAGATGGAAAATTTCCCTCCCAGTACACATCTTTAGCCTGGTTTGTTGAGAAAAGTAGGACGTTAAACCCCATTTTATTGCTTTTCCCTTCAATATCCACAATTAAATAGACTCCATTGACTGCATTACTTGTACTGCAAGAAGGACTGACGAATGGTCTTTTATAAATTAGTATGCCTGAAATGATTCCTTGGCAGTTTAAATTTTGTTGTAAAATTAACCAAAACTTTCAACATTGCTCTTTCTTTTTTTCTGTTGGTGATGTAATGATTCAGGCCTATAAATATATTTATTTTGTATTTTGTTCTATATTATTTAGGTCTATAAATCCATTAATGTTTGGATAATATTATATTTAATATATAGACCTAATATACTAACTTACTCGCCTTCAAAGTGTTCAGCAAACCGGGTGGATTTACTATTAGTAAGTCTAGTAGGTCTATATCTTGAATATAATATTATCCAAAAATAAATGGATTTATAGGCCAAGATAGAAGAGAACAAAATAAATGGATTTATAGGCCTGAACTATTACATCAGCAATGGAAAGAAAAGAACAGGTAAAGTTGAAAGTTGTTGTTAAATTACAACAAGTTGGAGTATTTTAAGGAATTGGATAAATGAAGAATCACAAACTAGAGATGATTGAATACAATATATCTGAATTAAACAAGAGATAATAAATCTATGACGATTATTATTTTCATACACAAACTAAGCTAATTTTTAATGAATTAAGTGAATAGAAGACGGGTCTTTCAATGGCATTTAAAATAGACGTTTTATCGTATTATCAGAACATAGCATTTCTTCGTTTTGTTGTGAATTTTACAGCAGAATAAAAAAAATACGCGGGAAATAAAACGAATCCCGATCATCAAGTTGCGTTATCCCTATTTCATTTTGGAGAATCAAATTGGCGTTTAGGTACGGTCATTAGGTAGATACACCCAATAGCAATTTACCTTCTGATAGTTAAACCTCGTTTAGGTACCTACAGGTAGGTAATTAGATAATCCAATAACAATTTAGGCTACCTTCTGATAGGTTAGCGGCGTTTAGGTACCTACAGGTAGATACATATACAATCTGGTTAAAACACAGATCCTATTTCGTTTCGTTTCTATAGTTCAAAATTTCATTCATGTAGTGTAGGCCATCAAAAGTATAAAAAAACGAAACGAAATATAGATCTGTATTTCAATCAGATTGATACATCCAATAACAATTTACCTTCTGATAGGTAATGAGCGTTTAGGTACCTACAGGTAGGTACATACAATAACAATTTACCTTCTGATAGGTAATGTGCGTTTAGGTACCTACAGGTAGGTACATCCAATAACATTTTACCTTCTGATAGGTAATGTGCGTTTAGGTACCTATAGGTAGATACATACAATAACAATTTACCTTCTGTTAGGTAATGTGCGTTTAGGTACCTACAGGTAGGTACATCCAATAACAATTTACCTTCTGATAGGTAATGATACAATAATACTAGAATTTGAAGATAACCTGGAGCAGATTTGTTAATAGATCGATAAGTTTAAGATTATATTTTAAAGTTCATCCTTTCTGGAACATGGAGCCAATGTAATTTGTTTAAGACTAGTTTTAGTGACAACGTAAGCAGCATGGTTTTTGCGGGGAATGCTCACTAGGCCGCGGGTTGGGTTAGGGTTAGGTTTATTGATACCCATATTTATAGTATTTCTTGTAGTGGCGGACTAGTGAACCCCCGGACTAGTGAACTCCTCTCGTTTTTGCAATCTTTGGAGCTTTGAAACTTCTTCGTCAGTAATACCAGTTAGTAACGAATTACATGGTCGATTCTTGACAGGACAAAGGACCAAGCTAATGATGCGCAAGCATCTTCTGCAATAATTTACACCGCCTGTGAGTAGGACCCACGACTTCATCGTTGACATTTAGCATGTTACATGACATCCATTGTTTAACATTATCTAAACAACCTTCCAGATTGACACCTTTCAATATTTTTATCAGATGATTGACACATGTTGGTCTGTTTGTTGTTATAAAGATTAAAATCATCGATATGTTAAATAAATATGGCATGGATTTAATATTGATGTCAATACTAGCCTGTGATCATTAGTGTGTTGAAGTCGATCTATGTTTCTTTGGTAAGAGTTACCTCCCATTATAACCTAACAACTCCCCACCTCACCTCTTGTACCTGGCATTTAATGAACAGATTATAAAATACTAGAAATAAATACAGACAAGAGACAATTGGTTTATTATTAAGTCAAATATAATTTCCTATTATAGAAATTGACAAACAAATAAACAATCAGTATTTATTATTACAATCACATGTATATATTTGATATTTATTGTTGTGTGTTGGGAAGGGGGGGGGCGCGTAAAGTCTGTCGTTGGGTCAAGTGGAGTGGTTTCGATTTCCAGCTTGCACGTGACTCACTGCTGCGCTCTATTCTATTATAACATCATTCTCCCACTCCTCGATTGTCTTATACTGTTTCAGCACTATCATAATCACGGTTATAGTGAACTGCCCGGCTAGTATAGACCACGATCGGCGAACAACTATATAATTATACAATACTATCTATGTTCTACCGGGACGCTGAATGTTATAGCCAGTATTTTCTTGACATTCTTTGTGGGGTGTGATTATGGATGGCGCCTTAGATTTGGAACCACCCCCACCCCCACCCCCTATTCACAGCTTCTATATCCGCTACTGGTCATGGCCCCTAGCTAGAAAACTCGCACCTGTGGGGCTCGACTCCTGACTGCGTCAATCGTACTAGGGGCATGTGCATCAGTCGGTCGCATTTTGGCTACCCCCCCTCCACACACAAAATCGTTATGTACGCCCCTGTACGTAGGGTAAACAATCACAGATACAAAGAATTGATTCTATTCGTAAAGTTAGATGAGAGATATTTTAGAGAAATAAAATAAAATTAAACGGGGTTTAACGTCCTACTTTGCTGCCCCCAAGATGCTATTAAAGACGGACATAGGTGATAGAGTGCGATATGAAGGAATGTTGCCCTAAATGTGGCGCTGAGACACTAACAAGGGGGAAACAAAGCTGGAAAATTTGCCAGGACAGCTGCCTATGGCGTACTACTCTTTATAATTCTAATTGTCAAGGGGTCTTTTACGTGCACGTCAACGTGTACACTGTACCTCGGTTGTTCATACTATCCGGTATATTAGACGCCACCCTTGCCATGCCCCCCGTCCTGCATCACTAATAAAGGGAAACAACACTGGAAAATCTCTGAGAACTTTCTCGACCAAATTTGGCGATCGGCTCTTCTTCCAAATTCCAACTGTCAAGGGTTCTTTTACGTACACGCCTACGTATACAGGGACCTCGGTTGTTCGTCCCACCCGATCCGAAAGACTAGACCCTGTCCTTACCATACCCTCCATCTTGCGACGCTGGAAAATACATGAGAACTTTCTTGGTTAACACCGGGATCGAATCATGTACTCCCTGATTAGCGAGTCAGTGCCTTACCCACTGAGCCACCGCAGTTTCCCAATCTTTTAGAGACATGTATTATGCTTGAATTTCACAAAGATTCAAGTTTCCAAATATATTGGAGAGAGAGAGAGGGGGGGGGGGACAGAGAACAATGGGGTCTAACGTCCACTCGACACAAACTAGGTCATTTCGGACTGACACACGGTTTAATTTTATCTCAATAATTCGCTTGCACGTAGGGGTATTTAGCAGTGGAAGGAAACCGGAGGACCCGGAGAAAACCCACGATGTTGGACAAGCGACCCTTCTCCTTGCCACATACAACTGGGGAATCGAAACCAAGCCAGTTGACTCGATTACAGACCTTATGATAGAACGCACACGCGCTAAATATTGTTTGGAAATGAGGAAGGAACAACAATTCATTCAGGATTGATCAATTAAGTCTCACAAATCTTGATAACTGTACGGTGAAAATATATTCATACAAACAGTAGTACATGTATATCAACACCTACATGTAGTTACCACCAAATTTTATTTACATCTCTTATCAAATGTCAAAAACACATATAAAGCCGCTGCCTTGGCAATCAATTTTGGTGGGTGAAAGAGATTAATAAAATGGTAGGAAATCTCAGGATTTGCTGAGAAGGCTGGGTATAAATGGGCTTCATCTAGTTCTCAATATAACAAGAGAGAAATAAGGTTTGTTTTACCAAATTTACAGAGAAAATATTAGCAGAAATAAAAAAGGAGTGACCCCGCTTCTGGGGATCGGGGCAATCAGATGACAAATTCAGAATTGCGGCCTGTAGACGGTAAACACCAAAATTGGGGATGGCTCTGCCTTTCTTGGGCGTGGGGGTGGAGGGGGGCATGAGACACGGATAAATATAAATAAGTGAAAAGCTGTTATTGAAATGATTGGTCACGCCGAATTTAAACAAAATCTGTTAATAAGTGCGACCAGTAGACAATTTACAGATAAAATGTTTACAAAAAAAAGTGGGTGTGGCACCGCCCCTTTTTTCGGGGGGGGGGGGGCACGGTGGATTAGTGAGTAAGACGCTGGCTCGCTAGCCGGGAGGTCACGGGTTGGCTCCCGGTGTTGCCCGAGAAAATTTGCCTAGTCCTTCGGATTTGACGAAAAACCGAGGTCCCTTATACACATTGGCGTGCACGTAAAAGATCCCTTGGCAGTTGGAATTCGAAATAAGAGTAGGTCGTAGCGCCGCTGTTCTGGCAAAATATCAGTCATAGCCAGTGCCGGATCAAAGGCCCACCTGTCAGGTCATTCACCAAGGCCCACCTAAGTAAGCGCCGAAATCGCACGAACGTCCGAGGGTTTTGTTGGGGGGGGGGGGGGGGTCCCCCCAGCAAAATTTTGAAAATTGACAGCCACAAACCCATTTTTCAAGCATTTCACACCAAAGCAGAAAATGGCAAATTTTTGATTTCCTGATACAATTAGATAACAGATTTCTTTTCTTTCCCCCCCCCTCTCCTTTCTTTCTCTTTTTTCTTTTCTTTATAGGCTTAGGCCCACGTTTTTTAAATGAGCTTAGGCCCACCTGTCACGGACAGGTGGACAGGCGGGCCCAGTCCGGCACTGGTCATAGCACATTGTATGGTGAATGTCCGTCTTCATTAGACCAGTCGGGGCAGACCTATAGGGCGTTAAACCCCATTTCATTTCATTTCACCACCCCTGGGGGTTGGACATGCACCAAAATAAAGGACATTGGGCATGGCTCTGTCCCTGAGGCTTGGGCATGCACCAAAGAATTGAAGTCTGTGGGCCAAACATAGACACAAGCGCAAAGACACGATTGAACGTATAAAAATAAACACGAGTTTTTGTAAACAGTATTATTCATTGAAAATAAATATATACAATAAAATTTTTAAGACATTTTAAATAAATTAAACAATAAAATAAACAATAAATATATACACAGTATTAGTCCTGTAGATAAAATACAAATACGTCATCAGTAGTTTTAACTGTTGACTACAGACAGTATAATACGTCATCAGTAGTTTTAACTGTTGACTAGAGACAGTTTAATACGTCATCAGTAGTTTTAACTGTTGACTACAGACAGTATAATACGTCATCAGTAGTTGACTAGAGACAGTGTAATACGTCATCAGTAGTTTTAACTGTTGACTACAGACAGTATAATACGTCATCAGTAGTTGACTAGAGACAGTGTAATACGTCATCAGTAGTTTTAACTGTTGACAAGAGACAGTGTAATACGTCATCAGTAGTTTTAACTGTTGACTACAGACAGTATAATACGTCATCAGTAGTTTTAACTGTTGACAAGAGACAATAAAACTGTAAATTGTATGACTAGAGACAATAACATTATGTTGACTAGTTTACATGAATTATTATAACTTGTTTATTTTATTTTAATTTGATCTGATATATTTAACGTCTAAATAAAGACTTGAGACGACGGGATAGTTTAGGTTTAGTTGATTTAGCTTTAATATATTTTATCTTTTCATCTTGTTCAGTGTCTGATTTCCTACAATAATCTAGAACTGTTTCACCATCTTTATTCTTGACATGTACATCTAGATGTAAACAATCAACTAGATATTGTACTGTAGATAAAGTACCAAACCAACATGCCCTGTGTAAGATGGTATCATTATAACAGTCTCTAACGTTAATATCAGCCTGATGACTGACTAGATATTTTATTTTATCTACAGTACTTACACTTGATCTACAACAGTAAAATAACGGTGTCTGGTTTTTATAACCTGTTGTATTAACATTCATGAGTAAATCATCAACTAGATATTCTACTGTAGATAAAGTACCAAACCAACATGCCCTGTGTAAGATGGTATCATTATAACAGTCTCTAACGTTAATATCAGCCTGATGACTGACTAGATATTTTATTTTATCTACAGGACTTACACTTGACATACAACAGTAAAATAACGGTGTATTGTTGTAATAACCTGTTGTATGAACATTCATGTGTAAATCATCAACAAGATATTGTACTGTAGATACAGTACCAAGCCAACATGCCCAGTGTAAGATGGTATTATTATAACAGTCTCTAACGTTAATATCAGCCTGATGACTGACTAGATATTGTATTTTATCTACAGTACTTACACTTGACATACAACAGGTAAATAACGGTGTCTGGTTGTAACAACCTGTTGTATTAACATCCATGTGTAAATCATCAACAAGATATTGTACTGTAGATAAAGTACCATGGCAACATGCCCAGTGTAAGATGGTATTATTATGACTGTTTCTAGCGTTAATATCAGCCTCATGACTGACTAGATATTTTATTTTATCTACAGTACTTACACTTGACATACAACAGTACAATAACGGTGTATTGTTGTAATAACCTGTTGTATGAACATTCATGTGTAAATCATCAACAAGATATTGTACTGTCGATAAAGTACCATGGCAACATGCCCAGTGTAAGATGGTATTATTATAACTGTCTCTAGCGTTAATATCAGCCTGATGACTGACTAGATATTGTATTTTATCTACAGGACTTACACTTGATTCACAACATTTAAATAACGGTGTCCGGTCATCACTGTCTCTGACGTTAACATCTATGTCCACCATGTTTTTTATATCATCCAAAGTACCATGTCGACAGGCATCAAATAATTGTTGTTGTTGTTGTTGACGTGTATCTGTAATATATAACATGTTATACTATATTTACAGTTTATCAAGTCATATTTAATATTGTTTCAGGTAAGTCAGAAATGAAATGAAATGGGGTTTAACGTCCTACTGTTCTGCTCCGATCGGGATAATGTAGAAGGGCATACGTCATACAGTGTGCTATGAGGGAAATTTTGCCCGGGCAGCGGCACTATCGCCTACTCTTATATCGAATTCCAACTGCCAAGGGATCTTTTACGTGCATTCCAATGTATACACGGGACCTCGGTTTTTCGTTTCATCCGAAGGACTAAACAGCTGTCCTTGTCAGGCCCTCCGTCCTGCATCACTGACAAGGGGGAACCACGCCGGAAAATCTGGATGAACTTTCTCCGCCAATGCAGGGTTCGAACACCCGACCTCCAGGCTAGCGAGCCATCGTCTTACCCACTTAGCCACGTGATCCCCTTCAGGTAAGTCAGTCGTTGGATATTATATTATATATTAGAATAACTTACCTTTCTTATCTGAGGTATCACTTGTATTACCAGACAAAGTACCATGTAATAATTGTTGCCGAACGGTATCTGTAATATATAAATCATATTTAATATTTTTCATCTAACTAAAATAACTATAAAGTTTATTATACGTCTTCTGACTTCAATGACGATGGGTATATGACGTAATAATTTGTGACGATGTGTGTATGACGTAATAATATCAACCTACCTTCCTCATTTAAGGTAAGAGTTTTAATACATGTCTCCAACTCATCAATTCTCTTCTTTGTCAGAGCTTCTTTCTCTTCAGTTTGTTTTTTGTATGTTTCAAGTTTTTCGATTTTCTTCAACATCTGTTTGGAATCCCCATCTTGTGTTTCCGCCTGTTTCTTCAGGTTCTCTGATTCCTGTTTTGCAAGGTCGTGATCTTTATGTAAGTCTTCTAGCTGATGTCTTGTCTTGTCTTGTTCTGTCATCAGATTGGTTTTATTTTTACCTGTATGATAAAATTATTTACAATTCAATACTATTACCTGTATGATATAATATAATACACAATTACACAAGACAAACCCACGGACAGGGCACAATATACATAGACAAATGAAATGAAATGGGGTTTAACGTCCTACTGCTCTGTTCCGACCGGGCTAATGGAGATGGACATACGCCATACATTGCGCTATGCGGGAAATGTTCCCAGGACAGCGGAGTTACGACCTACACTTATATCGAATTCCAACTACTAGGGGATCTTTTATCTTCAGGCCAATGTGTACAGGCGGCCTCGATTTTTCGTTCCATCCAAACGACTATACATTTCACCTTAGGGTCAGGGCTCATGCCCTCCATCGATACATCACTGAACCATGCCGGAAAGGGATCAAACATGGGACCTCCAGGCTAACGAGCCAATGTCTTACTCACTGAGCCACCGTGGCTCCAATATACATACACATTTCAAATAAAAAAATCTGAATGGATCCGGGTGCTAGCTATAAGCGTCCACTACGCCGTAGGCCTACAGAACAGGGCCTATACTGGCTATAGTGATTATATAGGCTTCAGTCGAAATGAAATCAAAGAATAAAAAAATCGAAGAAACAATTTGGAATATTTCCGGAACGTTGTACCACACTGGTGTCAGTCAGGATCGGCCATGTGTTACATGAAATCTCAATGTCAGCATATTGAGCAAGAAACAGAACTGAATTAAAATACATGAAAGCCATTAAACGTATGCAACCAGTCTCGACGGCGGTCGTCTGCTAAATGACGTTACACAAAGGTGGTCGTCTGCCAATTGACGTCATAAGTTAGAATGTAAATAGCGCCAACAATAATAAGGGAGATAATCCAGTTATAGTAAGATAATTCGTTTATAGTATCAATCTTTCTTATTTTGCTATAATCACATACAGTATATTGTCATGTTAATAAAAGGCACCTGTTGTAGGCCTAATTTAGTAAAGATAAGAAAACATAATAGGGATTCATCATTTATATTTTCTATGATTTAATTTTCATGAAAACGGTAGTAATTAAAACGTTTAAAATGTGTAGGCGAGTAATTAACGATCTTTAATCATGGAAGTAATAAAAATTATTTCTCGCAAAAAATCGGATTCATTCAAGCAAATATAAGAACAGAACCCTCACGTTCATATTTCTATTTTTATAAGTTATCAATGTTTAAAATAGAAACATCAGATTCATGCAAGCAAATAAGAACAGAACCGCTACGTTCGTATTTCTATTTTTATAAGTTATCAATGTTTATGTGTAAAATAGAAATAAACTTACCATTTGTGGTGTTTTCTAATACCTTTACGATTTCTCTGTAACCTAGCTCTCGTAAACATTGGATGAATTTACCATAGGCATCACCACAGTTTGACAAGACATACATCAGTAACTTGTCAGCAGCTGAATTCCGACCCTTTTCAACGTTCATGTATATTTTCTGTATTTCTTCCTTTTCATCTGCGTTGAAAACGTTTTTTTCAAATAATTTATTACCAAGTATTACTGGTTCTTTGATATGATCCAACAGATAACAGAAATTAGCTCGGATTTTATGATAGTCGTTTTCCGGCATCCGACCCTTTTGTCTTCCTGAAATAAATGATTTATTATACAGTTTTATTGTAGTCTTGATATTCTCAAATATGTTTAAAATAAAATGGCAATAACGTTTCATGTTTTAATGTTGTATTAGTGGAGGAGGGGGGGGGGGTACTCTCTCCAAGAATATATTAGAAAAACTGACGGTCGCAAACGCTTGTTTCCAGCTATCCGAGCGCCTGAATATACAGCAACTTCAACAAACCGATCGTTTACTGTTCATGGAGATGGAACCGTCGGGAGAAAATGTTGAAAATTTAACTGCCGCAAATACCTTTTCCTGCTATTCCAGTCCGTGACTTGGCTGACTTGAATCACAAACAACCAATCAATCGCTGTGGGCTATGGCGGCTCGCCCTCCCGGTGAAAATTTTGAAAATTTAACCGCCGCAAATACGTTTTTCTGCTATTCAAGCCCACGAGATAAGCAACCCTAAAGTTGCCTAATAGTTATGTTACTAAAATCCCACTTTATGCCAACCCGAATACCAACCATCCTATCAGACTATTGCAGCTGCATTCACAAATAATAATCGTTGCCCGAAAAATGTTGCACAAAATAGAGTGGCTCCAGACAAAATGTTTTAATCCATAAGTCAATTCAATTCGCGGTATATGATTAAAAGGAAAGTAAAATAAGTGTTTTATTTTGCCAACTAGTTGAAATTATAATTTTTGTTTCACTTCCCGAAAAGTCAGATTGCCCGAAAGTTAGAACTGTTCTGTTTGCTGAGATGAGGCAAATACGAAGCCCAAAACAAGGGGAAGTAACCGATATTCGATAAATGTAGCTAATGTGAATTAAATATAAAGTTAGTACGTAAGTCGTTTTACAAAAAAGAAACTACGATGGCGCTCCTTAATTGAACTGACCAATTCATTTAAAATAATCACCCACTCAACATATTAAGTACCAAATTTTGTTTAAATCCAACCAGTGATTCTGTTACCCGCTCACTAGACAGGATAGCTTCCAAATAAAAATATACTAAAATATCTCCAAAACAGCTTTATTTATACATCAAACATGAAAATAATGTAATTCGGTTGTTGGGATGGCTGAACAGCACCGGGTAATCAGATATGACAGGTTCGGGACGCTTTGTGGGCGTCGCTAACAATATTCAAACTCTAAACTTATATATAAATAAAAGAAAATTTACCGTACAAGAATTAAGCTCCTTTATAATTCAGTCAAGTAAAAATCTATTAACACTCCCACTAAAGTTCTTAATTCTTACTGTTGCAATAACAGGGATTGATATAAATCAGATCAAATCAAGTAAGTAAAAATCTATTAGCACTCCCACTAAAGTTCCTAATTTCTACTGTTGCAATAACAGGGATTGACATAATAATCAGATCAATTCGCTCAACGCACAGGCAAACTATATTGACTGTCTTTAACCGACAAAGGACTGGTAAGCTCAGACTTGGGAAACATTCTAAAATCACAAAAGAACCCTCGCCTCAACTACGAAAACCTATTATAAAATTGTTAATATATATTTCCTACGTTTTGACACTAAAAATCTACAAACATATTAATGGAGATAATTAATATTTAACGAAAACTGTATTTGAACAATAATTAATAAAAATAGAGTTATGTCCCCTAGATTTACATGAAATATGAAAGGAAAGCATTAAAATATGAATAAAATTCGGCAAGTCATAGGCACATCAAAAATAATGATAGGCACGCGTTCAGAATACTAATTTGCAATAATAAAACACAAAAACATGACTCAAAGATATTCTGTCGATGCCTGCCAATATCCATCTTTCACTACTATGAATGCCCATATATATATATAAAGACAAAGGATTAAAGGGACAGCACACCAAACACATTAAACAAATATGGACAAATTAGATAAAGAAATCTACATTACATAAATATTATAAACCAAATAACAAGAAAATGTTGATAAAGGGGGTCGATCTCGAATCATGGGCAGAGTTGAATATAGGTACAGAAAATAACGGAAACTTATGATTATAGAAACCCTACTCAGGCTACAATTCACGAGACACACGAACAGGTAAAGAACAAGGGTTATGACATAAGACTTTTGGTCCACTGAGGGGCATTATAATGAATCTAAGAGCAAAGTAGTTAGAGTATTACCATCATTCTACTTACCTTGGTACTTCGACATCTTGATAACAGATTTTTATTATTTGTATTCTGGACCTAGATAGGTATCTTACTTCACCTGGTCTTTTATCTTAAAAACAAGAAAATGTAATTAAAATTAGATTTCAATTTCGTTCAGTGACTTGTATGTTCTGACAATAGGAGGATGGAGACCTAGGTCTGTATTCAAAGGTTTACTTGAAATTAAGCCTTATATTATATGGACTGCTTGTCTTTGACATACATCAAGGCGTGTTCATCAGCCAGATTGATACAGTAAAGTAGTTTGCTTGATAAACAATGACATAGTTTAATAAACAATTGTCTGGGACGCAAATTCTAAATATATCATACGTAATATTCAACAGCAATAATTTAAAACAGCGAGATTTTGTAGGTGGTAATTGTGAATATTCAATTAAATATATTAAAGTTTTTGTGTGTCATCTACATTTTTTTACGGTTTAATCTCAAATTGTTTACAAAATATTTAATTAAGAAAAAACAATCAAAATATCAACGGTTGACTCGTGTATGGTGGACTATGGTTGCCATAGCAAATACATATTATTTTAATACAATTTTATATTATTATTCAATTATTATTCATTTTATTATTAATTTTTTTATTTCATATTTTTTTTCTAATATTTATTTATTTTAATTCGTATTAATTTTTTTTTTTTTTTTTCATTTCATATAAAACTTTTTTTTATTTCATAAAAATAATTCTTTTTTTTTATTTCATAAAAATAATTCTTTTTTTTTATTTCATAAAAATATATTTTTTTTTATTTCATAAAAACTTTTTTTTTTATTTAATAAAAAACTTTTGTTTTACTCCATAAATTTTTTTTTTTTTTTTATTCCATAAATTTATTTTTTTTAATTCATAAAAAACTTTTTTTTTTAACACGTCCACTTCTTTGCCATAGTGTCTAGGTTATCCAGTCCTGAATGGTATCAGATTGCGAGTTGTCTCCCTTAGTTTTTATTGCCGGTTGTTCCAGTCTATTGTTTACTTTCGCCTGAGGCGTGAATTTTATAAATTTTGAAAACTAGTTAATAGGGTCTAAAAGCTTGTTTTGGGTGTGTTTTTTTTATTATTGTGTATGCAATGTTAAGAATCAGAAATGGTCAATGGAAACACGACATAGAGCTAAGGGATTGTTTAGCAACTTATGTAGCTAGAAGGCTTTGACGACATGAAATAATTGACTTTGTTCAAGATAAATTTAGCGAATACTCCTGGAGTCTGCGATCTCTATTTTTGGTATTAAATATACAGACTATACTATTGATATAGGGAGATCTCTAAGGACCTGGGCGCCTTTTAGGTTATAGGGCAATGCACCAAAATGTACGAGAGGTAGGTTAGATTGATTACACCGGTATGTTATTAATTACCGGTATATATTTTAATTATGCATTTTATACCCAAACTGGAAAACTGGTCTAGTAGTAGTAAGACTACGTACGGAGTATTTCAGTAACGTACCTCAAGCAGTTCCTGTGATCGTATTATTTCAGCTTGTGACCTAGGCAAGAAGGTGAACTATAGAAATATTCTGAATATGTACTGGAAAATATTATCTTAAGATAAGTCTAGACTTATTTACATGTAATGTACCGTAAAATATACGAAAAACAAAATTTACCATTCATGTGAACACTACCGGTACTCAAAATCAATATTAAGACAACTGATACAAGTTTATAGAGCAGTGCTGATTCTATGAATTTCCTCTAAAACCTTGGCAGTAAGCACAAGGAAAGGAGGGTGGACTGGTCTTAAATCTGCACAGATTTTGGTCTCATATAATCTTGACATATAATGTATGGTAACATATTATGCATTGTTAAATACGTTGTTTTGCAGATCCATCTCCTAAATGTCCCCAGAGACCTGATGTATGCAGTTATGCAAGAATTGGATGCTAGTGGATTAGAAGAAAGAGGTGGTGTTGGAAAACCGAAACGTCCAAGGAGGGAAAGGAATTTTTATTCAGAAGTAAGTCTAAAGCTCAGTACACACTGCCAACATTTTCTGTAATATTTTCAGAAACATCTCAGCAACACACCTGGGCAACAAAAATTTGGCCCTGTATACACTCAGCAACAGAACGACAACATATAGGGCAAATTAACAACCATTCCTTGCTGGTAGCTGCCATTTTGTCTACATCACTTGACTCCAGGTAGATCATGTGATTTATGGCCCATTTCTGATTGGATAAAATGCGGCAACATCATCAGCATCGCGGCAACAAAATTGATGTTGTATTTATTTCGGCAACATTTGGACAACATGTTGCCCGAATGTTACCAAAGGATTCCGAACTGTACACATATCAACCTTTTCACCAACATGGCACCTGGTCAACATGTTGCTCAACATGTGTGTACAGAGCTTTATACCTTTGTCTGGCCCTTTTGTTTTTATAGAATATATTCTGTAACATGTTAACTGCTAATTGATTTTTCTTAGCATTCAGTATATTAAATACTGGTAAAGTTTTAAAAACAAAGGATCGCACAACTCGTTCATGTGTACTGTTTTTTTTGTGAGTGTCTGGTTATTCAATTTTACATAATGCAACATGACACCATTTAAGTTAAACTACAAATCTTACTCTCGATTAAATGAACACTCAGAATTTTCTCACATTTTATGCCATCCACAAATCACTTTTAGATATAAAAATCGTAAAAACATGAAAATAGGAATGATAGAATGTGATTGCATATTTTAATTATTTGACCTACTGTTAGTCAGTTAGAAAATGACTGTCAATGTTCTACTCTATATAAATGCATATACGTTTATGATAGCTATTAGCGTATTATACAGACGCTTTTGTGGTAATACTATTTTTTATATAAAAATAAGCGTAATTTTAAATATTGCTATACCTCAAACAAGCGAGAATGGCCCTTTAACTATAACTAGAGTTTCATACTTTCTGATTTAGTTTTTATTTATCCTGCAGTTTATTCTTGTTAATGATATTATTTGTTTTTCAGGGGCCAGACTATACACTGTCATTAGATGGCCATGATAAATTATGCGGCTACCCGAAATCCACTTTTCCCTTGTGTGTTTATGGTTGTCAAGACACCTATAGTGGGAGAATTCAGTTCCTTAAAGTATCTACAAGCAACAATGATCCAAAGATAATAGGAACATTCTATCTCGAATATTTATATGAAACTAGAAGTAAGCTAATAAATTATTCCTAAAATTGTAATGGCTGTCATCATAACGTAGTTAGTACATTACAAGTACCCTATGAAAGTCATGGACGAAAAATAAAATATAAATTTCGAAACTTCTTTCTTTATCTATATTCGCTCATGAGAGCAAGACATAATGTCAACATTCTGTTTTAATCTCCTTATTACAATAATATTTTAAAAGTTATAACAATAAAGCATTATTGCCATTTTGTTATGGATGATCAAGGCTAATACTTTTACATCAATTGTAGTTGTTCATTTTGTAAATTTTATAGATAATGCTTCTAACAAAAACTTGCCAGTATAAACATTTGAGAAAATTGAAATTGATCAGAAATTGTTTCATACCAATATAATATTCTAGATGTTTTTTTTATTGGCTTCAAATGATACTAAAATTCAGATATAGTCTACTGTATTTAAAAAAAAGATTTTCAAGCATTATGTATTCTATTTATAGTATCCACATTTCAGTTATTGTACCCAGAATATCTAATTCATTCTTATAACAATACACAATGCAAGATTAAAGCAGAAAATTTAACAAAAATGTTTTAAAGGGTTATGATTAAGCTCTATTAGTCTTTATTTATTATATTAATAGGACAGAGGTACAGAAACAGGAGATATGACCACAATGCATTGTTATCTAATTGACAAGTATCTTGCAGTTGAGGATGCAACAGATTTCGTCCTATATGGTCCTTCCACTGGGAATAAAATTGAACGATTTACGAGAGACTTACATTACAGACTGGAGATTTACTTTAAAAAACAGATTTCTGGTCTTTTAGAAAATGGAGATTATAATCCATCAAATGAAAAAGATAGGTAAGATAATTACTATTATTACTGGATAAGTTATACCCATCAGTGATATTTTATGCTGATAAACACAATTCAAGTGGAAAATGTAAGCTTTGGCCATACAACATTGATTTGTGCTTTTTATATGCTCACTTGAAATGTATGGTGTATTATATGACAATATTCGCTCGTTCACAATTGATGGCACAGGGTGCCTTTAATGGTATTATCTGGGGGTCTCTATCATTTTTTTGTGTGAATTTGAAACAAATTGTTTGAATAATACCCCTTTATTAGACGCAAATTTACATTAACTAAATACAGTGGTTTTATGGGTAGCCAAGGAGGGTCTCTGTTGTTTTTTACACAATTCTGAACAACATGTTCGAATTTTTCCTATTACTTGACACAATTCTTGTGTGAAAGCTGCTGTGTGGGTGTATTAACACGCTTTGCGTAGCTATCTGGATATAAATCATTTCTTTGGCAATACAGATGACAAATTAGGTCTAAATTAGCAAAGTACTCTTGATTTCAGTACCATTAGGATCACCAATTATTGTCAGGAAAAGGTCGGAAATCCACTACTGACATAATAAACCTACAAATTACTGATGAATTCTTTTGGGTTTTTTTTCATGTATACATACCAATAATTCAAAAAGAGTTAGATATATTTAGAGAAACTGTGTGGAACAATCATCGTTGCAGAAAAAAACAATAAGAAAGAATTACCGACAGGAATACCAGAACATTTGTATTCTTATCCGGAAAAATATGGTGGTGTGAATTGTTCTTTAAAAGTCTCTGAAAACGATTTAAATGAGGTTGCTGATTTGGCCAATATTTGTGAAGTAAATTATCTTACAGACGACTTCAGAGATGAGTGTATGCGCCATGTAGACCCAACTGAAATTTGTTCTAATAATGCTGATGTAGCCTATTTATTTATTTTGAAGTCTAATTTCAACCTTGCAGATGTTGCTTCAAGTTGAAAGTTCAATCTTTCTGTTTGTGATATGTGCATCTTGAAGTGATTTTCATGGTGTTTAGCCAAAGGAACAGTTCAACCAGACAATACAACCACATAAACCCCATACCCTTTCTTAGAGGAGTAAACACACTGAAAGTTAATAGATGTGTCATCCTTGGTGTTTTATCTAACCACGATCAATGTGTTCAGTATATCTCATCAGACCATTATGTTATTGCTTAAAGTTTTAGGTCAACTAATATAAGAATATGAGACATATATTATAACTAAATATGACACTACCATTCTTTCCTAAAATCTGTTATCTTTATTGACAAATTGTTGTACTAAAATCGCCATAAAAAGCCAAGAAATATTTTTTTGTAAATAATCTGACTTGATTTATACAACTGTACATCACTCTATCAACATTTGTTGATAATTGTCCTGTACAATTTGAAGGCAAAATCCTTTAATTTCCATGCTGCTTACTCATACCCAACTAAATCTTAGTTGAACAGCATTACTTTTTTAGGTTTTTGTTTTTCGATTGTTTACATGTATATTGGGTTATTTTTCTGGGCCTTAAAAAAACTGTAATGCTGTTTTCCTGCATTATGATTTTAAGGTTTAAAACTACAAGATCCAGTGCTTGTGCTTTCAAAACATGTAAATAATATGACATTCTACTGTATTGATATTTTCGATATCGTGCATATGCTTTCCTTATGACTATTCAGATTTATTGTTATAATCATGTTGATGAGATCTGTTATTGTATCAAATGTAGCACTCTTTTAGGGTATATATTCCTTTTAAGACATGGTAAAGTGTATTTTACATGTATGTCATTATGCAGAAAATGTACAAAAGTGGTATGACCATGATAATTATTTTGCCAAATTGTATTCCAAACACTTCTGAAATACATAAAGATACATATTGAAATTCTCAGGGAAACATGATGGGGTAGTCTCCAAACAGTTGAAATTTGAATACTATTTTGGGACCTATATTTGATTTGACTATGCGAAATGCAACCTATTATTCTAATTTTATACTCATTAGCAGATTAACGATTTGGTTCAGCAGCCATTTGCTGTCACATCATATATCCTTTAAAGTAGTTGGGTTCTGTATGCTAACAAAAACTCTAAACTGCAAATCTTTATTATTGCTAATAAAGCTTTTTAAAACTTTGCTTTACAATAACAAATATAATATTTAATAAAACAATAATTAATTATTGAAAAACAAAAGCAGATATGTTTGATTAAAGTACCATTCGCACTAAGTATCCCTAAAATGTTGGTTCATAATACATGTATGATCACTCTATGATTATTGTCAGAATAAATTTTTAAAAAATTTAAAAACATCAATGCACACAAGTGGTTTATTTATGTTGTTTTTCCTGAGCACCTGGTAGTTCAAATGACGCAATGTGATGTCATTCAAATTAAAAGTACAACTGAGTCTTGAATATACCATACACGAATTGATTTCAGGAATAAAAAATATTGTTATGGCAAATATTTAAAAAATATTGTCTTTGGAACACTTTTGTGTCAATACTAATATTTAAATAAAAAGAAGCTTATTTTGAAATAATTTTGATTTACTTTATACAAGTCGGAATGGCCCTTTACGCTCATTTAATGTTATGGAAGTACAGAGAACTTCAGTAGGCACATTTTCTGTTAAAATGGTTAATATGCCAATAATATTAAAATAGTTTGTCTGGCAATAAATTTTAACTCATACATAGGCCAATAACCCACATTGAAAAATCAGTTGGATACTAGCTGATTAATCAAATCAACCTAGGTGTGTTTTCTTGTCCCAAATATTTATTAATTGAAACAGGAACAAATATTTGATAAAAAAATTTACTAACAATGTTTCTGGAAAAAGTAACATATACATATTTTACTATGTAATTAATTTAGTTTTTTTTAAAAACTAAACTCATAACCTCAAATACTTGTATTTTCTTAGTATTTCACAGTACCAAATAAAATATTGAAAGATTCTTTTGAACCTTCTGCGTTATGTCAACATGAATGTACTGCTATTATGTCCTATTCAAACACAAAATGTTCAGTATTAAAATATTAAAATGTTTATTGTTTTTATTTTACTTGTTTCCTTTTAATCCTAACATTGTACAGTATGTATTGCACATGTGCTGTTTTAAAAAGTTTTCGATGGCCATTGATAACAAATTGCCCATGCAGAAGAACGCCTCTCCATCAAGCCCATCTTTCACTTCATTTAACTTAGATGTTGCTATTAATCTAGTGTGCTGGCTTTTACAATTACTCCTGTCTTATTGGTGTATTTTTTGAAGTCACCAGGAATATATTTTTCAATGCTTACAAAGTCGTTACTGCTTGTTTTGGCAAAATATACCTCATTAAAGGAAAAAACAGGTCCATATTCTGGTGGTGATTCAATTTTAAGACGTAAAGCAAAGTTTTTTATGAATTAAAAAAGAAAAGTTTATTGGAATAAAAAAAAAAATATGGAATAAAAAAAAAAGTTTTTTTTATGAAATAATAAAAAAAAAGAGTTTTTTATGAAATAAAAAAAAAAGTTTTGTATGAAATAAAACAAATTTTATATGAAATGAAAAAAAAAAAATTGTCACGAAAAAATAAAAATCATGAAGATGAAAAAAAGAATTAAAATAAATAAATATTAAAAAAAATTATCAAATAATAAAATCAAATAAAACATTTAAATGAATAATAATAAAAAAAATAATAAAAGTAGAAAAAAATTAAAAAAAAAATTAATAATAAATAGAATTGGAAATAATTTGAAAAATAATATAAAATTGTATTAAAATAATATGTATTTGCTATGACAACCATAGTCCACCATACTCCAGTCTAATCCTATACAGGTATGTACCTAATACTATACATGTAGGGGGATCACGTGGGTAAGACGCTAGCTCGCTAGCCTGGAGGTCGGGTGTTCGATCCCTGCATTGGCCGAGAAAGTTCATCCAGATTTTCCGGCGTGGTTCTCCCTTGTCAGTGATGCAGGACGGAGGGGCTGACAAGGAAAGCTGTCTAGTCGTTTGGATGGGACGAAAAACCGAGGTCCCGTGTACACATTGGCGTGCACGTAAAAGATCCCTTGGCAGTTGGAATTCGATATAAGAGTAGGCCGTAGTGCCGCTGTCCGGGCAAAATTTCCCTCATAGCACACTGTATGGCGTATACCCGTCTTCATTAGCCCAGGCTAGGAGCAGAACAGTAGGACGTTAAACTCCATTTCATTTCATTTTCATTTCCTATACATGTATCTACCTAATCCTATACAGGTAGGCACCTAATTGAACAGGAATATTGTCCCAAAACTTCTGAATTTATAACATACTCCTTTATAGAAGTTTAACATTGAAGGAGGTCCTACTATAAAGATATGAAACATGTCTTACTATATAAATATATGAAATCAAAATACATCAAATAATATCATATCTACCTGACTTGTTTATTTGTTCTTGTGCTGGATGCAGTCTTCAACTCTAGATGAACAACTGTTTAACGGCTGCTGTCTGGATAGCGTCTGACGCTCGCCTCTTGGTCAAGGTATATATGTGTGTGTTTACTGTCACCCCTAGTAACATTTCAAACATTCATTTTATCAATAAAAAATAAGGCGTGATTTAAACTCTGTCCTGTATGATTGGTAGATAATGACTAATGCTACTATAAATATCCTGATCATTTATATGATGTATAGCCCCTATCCACAGTTTACACGTCCACTCTTCTACATCCTATAGAGTGTGTGTGTGTGTGTGTGTGTGGGGGGTGGGTGGTGGGGGGGTCCGAATGGTTAGCACGTGCGCGCTGTATCATAAGGTCTAAAATTGAGCCAACTGGTGTGGTTTCGAATCCCCGGTTGTACGTGACAAGGAGTAGGGTCGCCTGTACAACCTCATGGGATTTCTCCGGGTCCTCTGGTTTCCTCCCAATGCTAAAGACCCCTACGCGCAAGCGAATTATTGAAATAAAATTGAACCATATGTTAGTTCCGAAATGACCTTGTTTGTGTCGAGTGGACGATACCCCCACCCCCCTCTGTCTGTCTGTCTCTCGGTCTCTCTCTCTCACATCCTACACGTCCACTTTTCTACATCCTACATGTCTACTCGCCTGCAGCCTATAAACCTACTATCTCACGGCCTACAGAGATTTAAAACTTTTAGCGATGACTGAGTATAAGTAATAATTTAGAATACAGAATACAAATATACTTTTTACATTGATTTCTTGATTTTATAACATTATATATAATAATTGACAAATCAGTAGTAAGATAACTGACAAAATCTTTGGGACCTTGTCGTGTGATTTTTCAGAAAAAAACAATCGCAATGTGGACATTTTTAATTCCGTTTCACATGTTCGCACAATATTATCCGTAGTGTAGTTTTGATTTCTTACCGACATCATTCCCGACGAAAAGATACAAGAAAAGAAGAACTTTGTGGAATCCAAATAAATTTTTCTAGCTATTTAGGTCTTAATATGTAAAAATAATATACTTCTACGTTTTCATATGATAAAGGACATGTTAATTGTACCTTTTCAGATTTTATAAAATTTTATATAATATAATTTATTGACAAACCAGTAGTAAGTTAATTGCAAATTTATGTGTCCCAACAGGTCAAGCAAAGTTAGTAAAGTGTATATAAAAACATATTGTAAGTTTATAATGTGTAAACGACCAGTCGAGCAGAGACATGCGAAATTTTAATTTTCCAAATGATCGTACCACGCCCCGAGCCGTTTTTGAAGTGCACTTGAAATCCTTCAAAAATTATTCAAACAGTTTTAATTCTTAGGGTTATTGTTTGTCTATATCTGAGACTGATGATAAGGTGATGTTGTACCATCTAAAGTATTTATTAACAAATAAGTTTGATCAGGATTCTATTCATCAAAGTAATAAATGATATTTGTATAATTACCATTAAAATATATAAACTAGTCAAGTACATAATAAAATTATCTAAAAAAAACCCCACACATTTGACAGATTCAACACGATACTAGACTTGACAAATTGTATAAATAAGACGCTAGAAATACTGTCGAATACTGGGGTTTTGTTATTTGTCGTCATCGCCATTGGAGTGAAGGTGTGTGTGTGTGGTGGAGGGGGCAACATACCTTCCTGGGGGAAAGTGAGGAATTTGAGGGCGGGGAAGGCGTGGAAACATACAGGCCTGGTTGTGTACCTAAGAGTATCATACAGCTTTTGTATAAAATTGTGAAAAGTTTGTCATCACAAAAAAACCCCAAGAAACTCCAGGTAATACAGATACCATTTGTACGGTATAAACTGAATATAAATTCCCCGTGAAAACCTGTTTGTCATTTGGGGTGTACGTGCGATTTGCACGTGGCCATTAAATAGATTGGTTGTTCAACTAAAGAAAGAATCGTAACATTAATAAATACATGGAGACGTTAAATTGTGTAATCATCAATAGATATATTATTATCAACATATATCTACACGTCTGAAATAAAAACATTCCTTTCATAATATTTTATATTAAATACAGGTCACTGGCAACTTGCCAAGTATAAAACCGTGGTGGTTAAAGATACAACCTATGATGGCCGCGGAAAACAGTGATGGTTAAAGCTACAACATGTAGTTAAAGCTACAAAATGTCATGGCCACGGAGAATCATGTAGTTATATACTACAGCCCACACTGATCCGCAGTGAATATTTGCTTGGCCGCTACAATCACTGATAAGGATGACATCGATGCGACTTAATGACTACAAAATATTAACTTTTTTAACTTTATTAACTTGTTTGAAGTATATCTTGATAAAAAATATTCCATATTTAGCGTAAATAGGTACAGAAAATAGTACGCGGAGGCGTAAAATGGGTAAAACGATATAATTCTGCCCTGTACCAGTTCATATTACTACGTTCGATGTAAACAACACACGTGTGACCATCAATTTGACGTTTTTTTCTGTTTGTTTACCGTCTAATCTTATTGACCTGTTCGTGTTTGTTTTAAAACTACAAAAACAAGCCACAGAAGTAATCTTTTTTGGCGCTATCGATGCCATCTTGCTTTGTTGGTAAACATTGTGATGTGACGTCCCCCTTAGAACTACAGCGGTCGGACCTTTTAAAGGTCAGTCATCTTGGACAGAGATAAAAGACGGATGTCGCATTAGGTCTGTATAACAGATTGACTACAGCCTAGCAGCAACTACCTGCCATGGCTAAGGAGAGCCGTGGTGATCGTGTGGTTATACAGCAACCTGTTGCGGCAATCCATGGCTGTTAAAGCTGCAACTGACATGGCCATGGAAAGCCGTGGTGGGCGTGACGTTGTGGCTGGTTAAATCTTTGCATTAAAAACCGAGACCATATAACAAAAAAGTTCCATGACCAAAAAAAAAAAAATAAAACTATAAAGTTTAAAAAATAGTATAAATCAAAATGTAACAGGAACACGATTAATATTTTCATCTGAAAAACAACAACAATAAAACTATTAAATTGTATCAACCCTGCCAACTCATCAAATTGTATTAACCCTGTCAGCTCATCAAATGAGAAGTGCTATCGTGTATTCTTGAAAGATCATGTATACCATGCCTCGTGCACGATAAAGTGGATAGGTAATTAAATTATTGGAAATTCTCTAGAAATATTACTCATTTAGATATTTTGAGGTCGTTTGAAAATAAAAGGTTGACCTTGCTGTCAATAAATCTGTTATTTTCTTATTGTGCTCTGTAAAAGAACGATACGGTAATCACGTGTTAAGGACCGGATCTCTTAGTTCAGAATGCGATACTCTATTGAAATAGATAAAGAATAGTTTCATGTTTTTATGTATAAATTATCAAAAATTAAAGACGTATTTCTATAGCTGTTTCAATTTTGTTTATGTCCTTGAAAGCAGAATTCATATCTTTTTAAAATCTCCGTTAGTCATAAATGGGACAGGATCTAGTCAAATGTTTGCGTTGACTCATATCAATAATGAATCACAAAGAAAGTCGTTAGATAAAATTATGTTGGCTTTTTGGGGAATGGGGTGTTAATAGGGTAAATTGAGAATCTTCATTTAATATTGGGGTATATTGTATTCACTTCTATCCTTCCGTAGAGCCCCTCCGCCCGTTCACAATGATTGTAAACACTTGACAGATACAACTTTGGGAAAGTTATTTTTTCAAACTATCTGTGGTTGTTGAGCTAGTTCCAGTGAAGAATCCTATTGAATTTTATAGCCGCCCAGTTCATGTCCCCCGAAACCATTAAAACGCCCTGCAAGTCAGGGTTCTTTTTCAGGGTTTGCGTGGTCGCGTTGAAATTGAGCCCCGCCAAGCAACTGTATTCGTAGTTTTTGCCCCTGGTCTTTAAAACCCGAAAGCCCCCCCACCCTCCACAAATCAGATGGAGGGATGAAAAGTCCTTTCCTGACAACGCTATCATATATATTTTAGGGGCTACTACATCAGTCTACGGAAAACCCCGGTGCCCCCACCACGACCTGACTAGTATGAAAGCGTGCGGCAAAGCGCAGCTAGGTCTCACAGAACGATTTGCAGAGTGGAAACTTTCAGGCCGAGATGGGGTCGCCATTAGCTACTTTGAGCGCCATTGCGGCTGTACTGCGTTAATTCACCATTCTTGTAAGAGCACCTATCCATTGCGCAGTCGGGATTTGGCGCTAGAGGTACCATATGGCAACGACCACTGGAGTGCCAGTGTGATCGCGGGTTTTCGTGTCATGGATTGCACAATTTTCGGCGATGTCACTGCTCTTAGAAGAACAATCTCAAAATTAGTGAGCGCAAAGCTGTCGACGAAGATATAGCCAACAGCGAGAAAACACCCGCAATAGGCAGAGTTGGCTCTTGTATAATGCATCTTTGTGTTTTTTAATAACTTTATTTGACTAATTGGTTGTCATAGTAACAATTGTCAACAGATGAAGATGTCATAAATACTATCTATATACAAGATGAGTTATTCAACATTTATACAGATTGTTGTACATAGCGTATCTCCACCATTATAAGGTATCTTAATATGTTTTTGTGGTTTTTACTGCGATAACTTGCCTGTTCCACATAAAACAAGTGGATTCATTTTCTTCGCCACTTGCCTTTTCGTTTCTCCACTGGCGATCTGGACTCCCCTGTTTTAACTTTATTTTGACTAAGACGCATTTTAACAACGAATGGAGACGATGACCCACCGACTCTTCGCACGACAAAGTATTTTAACATCGTGTTTTAAACATACATGAATTTGTTTATGTATTTATCGTTTTATATTATAATCTTATTTAAAATCATCTGTCCATAATATCATTAGTAATGTTTTAGACGTTAATATTCCTATTCCAATAAGTAATCGCTTGGACTGTAATAAGCAATAACAAGCCCCGTCCCTACCAAACAACGATAAGAGACCTTATATGATATTTAGAAAGCTGTTTTTCTTAGTTTATTGTCGACTAATTGTAAGACTTTTAAAGACGGGTAATAAGCAATACATAGCCATATTTGGTAATAAATAAGCTGTAATATATATCACCTAA